AGCATATTTTCTATTGTGCATATTTTCTAGAAGCGTGGTTTTAAAATTGAACATGTTTGAACTATTTATAGTCTGAGTATCTTCAACCATAACAATGGTTCGGTCGTTATTCTGGTGACATGTATATAGGACTGGGACAGCAAAGCTCGTCCGCTGCCCTTTGCTTTGTAGTTATCTTTACAGGGATGAACGAAAAGGATCCTCAGTGTGGATGATTTGTTGGAGAAGGGAGCCACACGCTCTATTTCCGAAAATTGAGCTTTTGGACTTCAGCATGGGGCCCTGAGTCTTAGTGTTTCTTTGCAGCGTGTTCTTTGGGTCGTTTGCAATTCTTTGTTACAAAGAAACAGAGAGGCCGCTTTTGGACCATGTGTAGGAAATGCCGGCGTAATTTTAGGTTCTAAGAGCAAAAGGGAGAACTGGATGGTTTGCGTGTTACATGTGTATGTTCCAGCACTGTTTCTCCACTTCAGGTCCTCATTGAGGCTGGAGCCTATCCCAGGTGTCAGAAGACATGAGATAGGCTATACCCTAGATGGGGAACCAGCCCGTCGCAGTTAGAGCAGCACAGAGCCAGCAGTATACCTGAGCTGCAAGCCTTTGAACTGTGGGTGAACTGACGTACCCAGAGGAAATCTCAAATAAACACAGAGAGGACAGAGGTACCATTCACACCAACAAGGAACAATCAGACCTTTAACAAAACTACCCTGAAGCTTGCTTTGACAAAATCTCAAATCCTTATGGCTTTTTTAAACAGTCCCAAAGGCTGGATTACCATTGAGCAGCATAGTTGTACCACAGACAGACACTCTTAGCGTTATGCTGGGCATGCCATAGTATAAATTGTTGTGGGCGTTGTGGCTATAGGCTGGCCTGAAAAACTGCATACCTCTATGAAACCCAAGCTGACAAATCTGTGGCAATTTTTGGAGATTTGTCTTCAGCAAAATGACACCACAACGCTGATGTATACACTTTGTAAGTATCACTTTTTGTACAGCTTCCTGTTTTAGTGGAACTTTGGCTGGGAATTCAGTAAGAAGGGTTTCAGTAAGATGCAGGCATACATTTTATTACAAGGCATGGTTAAAGCAAGCTGTTGTTACTAGTTTGATCATCTACGTTGAGTTTTTTTTTTCTTCAAATTGAAGAATGTTCTGTCCACAATTCGTCATTTGAGTTTCAAGAGGAATGAAATAAACTGTATTTTATAGTGCAACCAAGGTTAGATACTGTTCTTTTTTTGTAAATATGGTTTTCCTTTTTAATTCAGTTGAGAATTATTTTCTTTTATCTAGTATCCGTTTTAATTTCAGTGTTAGTTTACGACAATGACACTGGTCCCAAGAAGTCCAACACGCCCGAACACACAAACTGGCACCGTCAATCAATGTAGAATAAGCCCAGATTTTAGCCTAAACATTTTCACAAACACTTATTCAATGGAGATTCTAATGCAGCAAGCAGAGCATTTTTGGCTTTAATAATGAGCGTATTTAGCAGCTAAAAGGACAAAAGATATAAAAAACTCTCCGTACTGTTGGTTATCTAATAAGTATCACTAGAGAACATGGTGTTTTTGCCTGTGTGTTTTCTCTTCTGGTGCTCATCCATAGCGCCAGTACCACCGCGGTATATCTCACTTTGCACAGTGTAAAACCACCATTTTCTTTTATGATAATTTGAACTACCCCCATAATTACGTAGAGATATTAAAAGGAGAACATTTGTTATAGTGGACTGAAGCGTTTTAGAAATCATAAAGGTAATTGTATTTAAAAAATAATTTAAAAAACAATGCGTCGATTTATAATATTGATGTAGACGGATTTTCAGTGTCGATGTCATCGACTACGTCGACTAAAGGCGGCAGCCCTAGTTCAAAGCTTGTACTTCAAGCCCTAGTTCAAAGATGTACTTGCAATCAAATTACACTTTTGAAATTGCTTGTGTGATTTTCAGATTTTGGTGATGCTAGTGAGCAACACGTAGGTATTTACACTGCTGAGGTTAAATATACAGTGCATTTTCCTTGGAAACAACTTTGTTAATGTTTGAGTTTGCATGGTTTGAAGTATATACATTTTAAGTGAATTGTCCCCTTTAAGACAACTGTCACTTTAATGACAATCACTTTCCCATCACTTAATAATAAATCTCTTCTGTTTTGCACCTGTGGTATGGGCCATCCATCCAAACATTTTCTGCTTGTCTTATTGCAAGGCAGAGAACAACCCAGGATGGGGTGCCAACCCATCACAGGGCACAAGGCAGGGAACAACCCAGGATGGGTGCCAACCCATCACAGGGCACAAGGCAGGGAACAACCCGGTATGGG